ACGTATGAACGTCACGGGCATGATCATGAATCAGACGCCTAAAGCGCTTGAGCTCCTCGGGCATAATCCCCAGACACGAAATTCTACCACTAAACACCTTCAAAATCTATCTACAACACAAGATAGCAAAGAAAAAGAACACTTACTTGGAGGAAATGTGAGGAGCGATGGTTGTGGAGATAAGTACACGGCGGACTATGCGGCAGTCTCAGTGACACTAGGAAAACGCGCGGTGTTGACGGCAGAGAAAATTTGAGAGCGTGAAAATGTGAAAACAAATTATCGGCCCTGAAGCCTTATTTATAGAGATGACGTGGAATGTGAAACGTCGCTTCGGGGAATCACAAACCGCCTTTATCCTCGACATCTACTCACATAGACAATGATGACCCCTACTCCCTAAGCCGCCATTATGGTTTCCAAGAGACACACCACGTGTCTGACTAGTGTATCATCCTCTCCTTGGGAGTACTCCTAGAACACTCTTTGACCGCTGCACAAAGCAAATCATGAACCAGGCGACGTCTTCCGTCCATGGTAGAAAAACCCTATATCACGCAGGGAGTCTCGTGAAGGGGCGAACTTGAATCAAGTCATAACTCCTTCACCAGGAGCAACGACTTAGGGGGCTCATGTTCTGGACTAGGCCTGCCCTTAGCCCAACTAGCAGTGAGGCCCAATCCAAGCTTGCCAACCTGCTGCATTGAGCATTATTTCCATCGAGCACATCCCGACCACAGATGTCTTGTCGACCAAGACTGCTTCCCGTCGGTGCTCGCAGAGACCATCCCCGACGAGCACGTGCTCCTTCCGAGCACCTTCCTCGTAGGGATGACTTCCAACCTCTCCGAATTTCGCGGAGTCTCATGGTCCCGGAAATATCGCGTCCCTATCCTCCCTGTCTTACGGAGGATTTTATCCAGGTAGGGGGTGACGTACGGGTCCCCACTACACACGTAGAACCTGGCAGTCTCTTTGTTGGGCCTGTTTGATCAGCCCAATAAGGAGACCTTGGCCTAGCGTTGGGGGCTATAAATACCCTCTCTTTTGAGAGGTTCAGGTATTCATTAATACATCTCTAAACTCATACTTGCTTGCTCATTCCGCTTCTTACTTTACCATCGGAGTGTCTTGCAGGTACCCTCCCTCCCCATCTCATTCAACTTCAGCCTGAAGCCAGTTGTGACGGTCCATCTCGGATCCGATAAGATCAGGTCTATTACAAGATAACATAATACTTAGTCTCTCATTTTTTTCTCTTCCATGTCTTCAGAAACCTTGTTTTTACTCCTAGTTTAGAGTCTTTTGAACCTGACTTCTCTCCAACTTCTGGTATGGTAATTGACTGCTCACTAGATCTTGGGTCTGTAATTGGTTTCTTAAACCAACTCAACTCGATCCTTTCACTTTTCCTTCTTTTTATAATTGGATTATTTACTTTCTATTTCTTTGATTTCCTGGGAATTGAGTTAGCCACAGCAGATCCTGTCTGACTCATGACAGTTGGTACAGCTATGTCAGTCTTAGTCTGAGAATCATTGGGAAATGTAGAATCAGTAGCCATTGTACTTTGTCCATCAGTGGGAACTAATTCTCTCCAGCATTATGATTTGTACTTTTTCCATCAGTATGAACTGAATTCTCTCCAACATTATGATCTTCACTTTGTTCATCAGTAGGAACTGAATTCTCTCCAGCATTATGATCTACACTCTGTACATCAGTTTGAACTGTCCTCTCAGCTTCAACAAAAATTTTAACTTTCCTCTATAAAAATAATAACATGTTAGATTAGTCACAAAAAATTTATACAACATAATGAATTTTAAGAAACAGTTATACCTTTCTTTTCAGAGCATTGGGGTCCTGTGTCAATGCCTTGCAAGTCAATGCATTGTGACCAAACTTGTCACATTTCGTGCACTTATATACAACCTCGTGTCTTCTTCTTCTTGGACCTTCCTCTCCAAGTTCTATTATCCTTACCTTCCTAGGCCTTCCTGGAACTTTTTTGTATGATGGTGGTAAAACTTGTTCCATTTATGCTTCTGGCCAAATATCCTGACCATTGATAGGCCTTATTGAAAAACCATAACAAAGTGCAAATTTATCTCTGGTGTAACACTCATTAACAAAGTCATCGGGGTTTTTCTTCCTAAAATTCAAAGCAGCCACAACATACCTACAAGGTATTCCTACTAACTCCCAGAAGTTACAACTACATGACCTTTTAGCTATGTCAATAATAAACTCTTGGTTGTTATAACTATGGGTGACTTGGAATTGCTCAGCCATGGACAAAGTTGGGAACCAATGTCCACTGTTGAACACTTTATTATCTAACCTTCTCCTAGGTATTGGCATCATTTTATGTTGCCACTTTTCTAGTTTATTGGCAGATGTAGATAACCTATTCATAAGATATTTCCTTATCCACTCACACATAGTCAGTATAGGTTTGTCCCTAGCAACTAGTATTGTAGCATTAAAAGATTCAGATATGTTATTCATCAAAATATCGCATTTAGGGTAAAAAATGAAGGCATCCTTACACCAACTCTTAGTAGGGACTAACATCAACCAAGACCAAGCATTTGGATCCACTTTCTTCAATTCACTCATCTTCTGGGACCATGCTTGATAATATGTAGTTTTAGAAGCCCCCATCATCAAATCCCTTATGAAGGATCCACCACCAATATTTTTTAAAAATTTGCATATAAATGTCAGAGACACAATCTGTGTTCAATCTTGTCAAACATCTCCTCGAAGATAGCAACTAGTCCCTAAAGTAAAGCAGAAACATTTGCACATTCAATACAGAACCAACAAGTTAAAATAACAGTTAATTCACTACATTAATAACAGTTAAGAATTTGCATACCTTTTGTTGATCATAGATGAATATATATCTTCTCTCTTGACCAATGTCTTCCATCAATAGTTGTATGAACCACCTCAAGCTCTCCTTAGTTTCAGTCTCAACCATCCCAAATTCCAATGGAAAGTATTGATCATTAGCATCTCTACCCACAATAATTAATAGTTGTCCACCATACTTTGTCTTCAAATGACATCCATCAACCCCCACAAAGGATTTGAATCCATTAATAAATTCTTTCTTATAACCATCAATACAAAAATAAAAGGATCCAAACCATGGTTGTATGGAAGGAGTCGGTCTTTCAACATTGATCTTCACAGTGTTACCAGGATTCACTCTTGTTAATTCAGCTACATACCTCCATATGGATGCATATTGATTATCTCCATTACCTTCAATTACCTTCTTAGATATTAACTTAGCCTTTCGTGCTTTCGCAACAGTAATCCCTACAGAATTTTTTTGCCTGATATCTTACATTATCTCTTATCCTAACATTATCATAAGTTTGCAGCCTCTTTACCACATGCTTAGTTATCCACATAGAGTTAGCAGATTTTTTATCCAAAACTCTAACACATTTGTGGGTATCCACAAGTGTTTTTATTGCAAAAGCGTGTTTGTGGGCCACTTTAGAGCATAAGACCGAAAAGCCACATTTAGCTTTTTATTGTACTCTCACTCTAGCTTTCATTTTTTACAAAAGTAATTTCCCTCCCATTGAGGACTGACCACTCACGAATAGCCTCCCTAAATTCCACAAGTAAATTAAATTTCATACCCATCTTAAACTTATAGTCCTTGTTGAGGTGATCTTTTCTAAATCTTTCATACTTGGGCCTTTCATCATCACAAGAATCATCCTGGACATCACTATGGTATTCATCCTCATCCATTTTCTTATTGGGCCTACCAAAAATCCCACTAAGACTTACATCTTCATTCAATGGCCATGTAACATCGATTTCTTCAAAGCCATCAAGAAGAGTAGTAGCTCTCTCATCTTCACTGTCATCTAACCCTTCAACCATCTCCTCTTCCAACCCATCCATTTCATTCACCTCATTTACACAATTAGGTTCTATATCATCAGCATCCAAGTCTCCCAGAGAATGTTCCACATATAACTGCGCATTGATATTCATTGCACTGAAGAATGATGCAAAATCGTATGCATCATCATCCTTTTTATCAAAATATATCCTTCTTGACTCTCTAAAACTTTAGTCCATAACCGAAAAGTACCATACTTATACTCCCACACACTCACCAACTTCAGAATAATATACATTGTCCAATTAGTAACTTCAAGACTATTTACATTCGAATCAACCCCCCTCTGTAAATAATTTTAGTCGGATTAACCCTTATAAATTCACCCCACGGTGAAAAGTAACAGTAAAAGGTTGGAAATCTTGTGAATAAATCAAACTCAATAATCAAAATGTTACCACCATATTACACGTTAACTAAGATGAAGTTTAAAATTCAACTTACCTTAGACATTGCAAGCTCCGTCTCCGTCTTCGTTGTCACCTGATGCTTCATCTTCGTCGTCGCCTGAGCTTCATCCTTATCGTAGCACAAACTTCTTCACATAAACCCTAAGTTTTGCAAGGAGGTATATAGAAATGAAAACGTAAATATCAACTAGACTATCAATTGAATAAATGAAAATGTCATGTGTATATAGAAATGACACGTGGATGGAATTTCAAATTGTGAGTGAAGATTTCATGACACCTTATTAATAGGGGTGATGTGAGGGAATCTATATAACATAAAAGGGAATTAAAAAAATTTTATCAGGAGCTAAAATTTTAACTCGCTAACAGAGGGTTTTGTATATTTAACCCTTTTTTTTTATTCAATAATTTATTTTTATTAAAAATGTATTAATAATTTTATTAATTCTTTATTATATAATTTTATTAGATTTCGATATTGGTAAAAAAAATTTTACATAATTTTTTTTATTAAAAATTCAAAAATTTAGAAACATTGAAATAAACCAAAAACAATAATTGTTTTAAAATGCAAAATATTATTTGAATTAAATTACATTGCCTAGATCAATCTGATTCATATAAGGTAACTTCATGTCCCCTTATTTCATTTAGTTGTTATTCATTGCTGATGTGGTTTTTAAGTCATTTTCCTTCACAAAAGTAAGGCTACTTGTTTTTAGCAGTTTGCTCCCCTTTCCCTATACACAACCAAAGATCAAAAGCTTTAATTCGATAGTTAATCACATATAGTATAGTAACATAGTCATGAAAAAGAGGTAAGTTTACCTTTTTCTTATTGAAGTTTCTTTTGGCCTGCCCAAAAAGTTGGGTTCCAACGGGTTTTTCAGCTTTCATGGATGACTTGTTGTCCTAAATAGTATATGACATCAGTTCTTTCAAGGAAAATATATAGTCTTCAATTCATGAGTATACCATTAATAAATAATTGGACATCAACTTCTGATCTCCTTTCGCATATAAATTTATATAAAATATTTGATAATTTCCTAGTTATAATTAGATTTATGTAACATAAATAGAATTTTAAGAGAAAAATTTAAAATATCAACTTATGGTAGTATAGTTAGGGTTAATTTAGATTTCTCATTTAAAATTGAAGTTTACACCTTCTTTTAATATGAATTGCATGAAATCATGTTTATTATAGAATATATTAATAAGAGAAATTATGGACATATTTTACTTAAAACTGATTCAATGATGATCATTCGTGTATTTTTATAATGAAAATATTGTCGGGTAATATCTTTTAATTAAATGGAAAAATATTTTATACATTATTAATTCATTTACATTTAATATATCTTATATTTTAAAAGAGAGAAAAATATTCACATATGAATTAATTAATACAGATTTTTTGTTATTGTTTGTGACACTTAATAAGATTAACTTTCTATTTGTATTTTATAAAGTTGTTGAGAGATATATTTGCATATATTAAACTATCGCTTTTGCTGGTTATTTGATGAATTAGGTTTTATGTTCTAATGTTTTTGTTTTTTTATTCAATAATTTGTTTTTATTATATATTAATAATTTTAGTAGTTCTTTTTGTATCTAATCTTATTAGAATTTGATATTGGTTTGAAGAAAATTTATCAACTCTCACTACTTACATAAAAAAATTTATATAAAAATTCCAAAGTTTATAAACATTGAAATTAAACAAAGACAATAATTGTTTTAAAATGCAAAATATTATTTTGAATATATTACCATGCCTAGATGAAACTTATGCGAAAAATAAGTTACAAATATTATTTTATTGAGTTTTTATTCATTGTTGATGTGGCTTTTAAGTCACTTTCCTTCAACAAAGTAAGACTAGTTGTTTTCCCTATACACAACCAAAGATGAAAAGCTTTATTTTGGTAATTAATCATATGTAATATAGTAACACAGTCATGAAAAAAGGTAAGATATATAGATACCTTTTTCTTATTTGATTCTTGAGGCTTCTGCTGAGTTTTCTTTGGAGCTGATTTGGAAGATTGACCCTTTAGAGCACCATCACTAGTTTCTTTCTTGGCATGCCCAAAAAGTTGGGTGCCAATGGGTTTGTCAGCCTTCATGGATGCCATATTGTACTAAAGATATTATCTTTAACAAATTAAAGAGACTCTATATTGTTGTTCTTTTAGTCTTTAATTACATGTATGTTCTGAAATATGCCTTTTATAGGAGTCTAAACTAAGCCACTAGGCACGAATACTTGCCACTTGCGTTAGTGGAGAGGAGATAAGAATAGCATAATCGACAAGTTCATGCAAGTATGCAAACACTTTTGAATCAAATATAATAATATTGTATCTAAACTGGACTAATGAGAATTAATGACATGTCACAAGTGTACATCTACATTGAATTAATAAAAAGAGTATCATGCTTAGAGACCAAATTGATTATCAAATTCCACTACTTATATGTTTATCTAAGACGATTTTTTTGAGATTGTTTTAAATATAATTAAAATTGGTTTTTAAAAGTTTATTAAGAGGGATTAAGGACAATGAATCATGTCTATACTTACTTCTGGAATTTCTAATTCCAATTAATAATGATAAATTTATTGTAGAAAAATAATAGAAATTGTTGGTAATGCTTACTTTTGTAAGTGCATTACCATCTCATAAACTAAAGTTTTACATGATATTGCATCATATCTCGTTTGTTTGGAATGCTTTAGAACATAATTATTAAAAATTTAAAGCTTTACTAAGTTAACACTCAGTTGTTCAAAATTTCAAAGTCACACATCAATTATACTCTTTCAGCGTGTAATTGATTCCCAAATCTCTCCTATGTTCGTAGTAAAATAGAAAATTTAAACAAAATGGAATTTTTCATTATATATCATTCATCAGGGAACCTACATGAAGTTTTTCATTATTACATATTATGTAATACTTGAGGCCGACGAGAGCAGAGAGTGATCGTCGGTGCATAAATCATTATAATGAGCGGCTATTGATATCTTCTAGGCAAAAAACTGAATTCACATTGGATCGAGAGGAAATTTGAGACTGTGGAGGTATGGTACTGAACGGTTGAAGGAAGGTTTATAAAGATTGATTGGTAGTACATATACCAACAAGATGCATCTTTTTCGGTAGCTTAACAAATAATAACTACATAGTTAAGTGTGCTTTACTTAGAATAATATTTGAATGGATGACCTTCTGAGAAATTTCCCAAAAAACGTGTGAGTAAGGACAAAGCATGCTGAAAATACATGTGTTGGTGTACAGGGTCAGTCAGTAATTCTGAAAGCAGTGTGGGGTATTAAAAATGATATCAGAATAGACATATCCTAGTACAACGTGATTCAGGGACGAACCAAGTAGAAACTAGTGGGCATGTAACACTTGAGACTGAGGAGGACGGTGAGTGGTCTCTGGTGCACAAGTCATTACAATGACTGGCTCTTGACAATTTCTAGACATAAAAACGAATTCACATCGGAATAAGAGGGAACCAGATGTTGTGGAGGTATGATACACCATGGTTGTATGAAGGCTAATAAGGATTGATTGGTACTACCTATACCAATAAATGCATCTTTTTTTGGTAGCCTAACAAATAAGAACTCCATAGTTAAGTGTGTTTGAATTAGAATAGTATTTGGATGAGTGACTTTATGAGAAGTTTCCATAAAAGCGTGAGAGTGAGGACAAAACATGCTGAAAAGACTCGTGATTTTTTGTGGGGTCAGTCAGTAATCCAGAAAGCAGTCTGGGACATTACAATTCATGTATCCGAAATCCTAAGGAATTTTATTCAAACATGCTTAGGATTAAATCAAAAAAGATAGTAAACATGAACACAAATATAATAACAAAATGAAATAGAACCTCGAATTTCAGTGTAAAAACTTGATACAAGATAGTTATGTGGAGAATTTCAACAATAAGAAAAATAAAGCTTTGTGGGAAATAAAATGTAGAGAAAACAAACTAAATCTTAAGAGTACTAGTGTATGCAAAACACTTGGTGTCCAAACTCAGTATTACAAGCTTTTATATAGGCCTAAATCTATAATGATGATGATTAATCCGTGTAAGTAAGCCTTAAATCTAATAATAAACAATTGTAATTGTCGAGAGTTGAAAAGCCAAAAAAACTACAATAGAGAAAACAAAATCCAAGATGACTTTATGCACACTACTACCATAGTGTCCGTTACAGGTGGCTCGTAGTGCCCAACGGTTTCACTAATGGACTAAAATTGTGTTAGGTTGATTGTATTTTAATTGGCAACATTTTGTTAAAGAGGGAAAAATAGTAATATGTTGGACAATATGTCTTGAAATACTTATACGACATTGTGTCATGTTATGAGTTTTGCATTTTTGGAAGATTTATTTCAAGATTCATAGAAGATTTGATTTACACATACTATGGTCCAAGATGCGTGTATGAATATTTGATTCTATAAAGATTTGGTTCAAGTGTCAGATATCTAAAGATTTGTTTCTTAAGATTGTATGACAAAATATTTAAGGCAACATTTGATTTTGTTTCGAAGATTATGCAGAAGATTGTGCAACATTCTATTTTGGATCTGCTTTTATTTTAGCCTGAATCATGTGATATTCTAAGGCTAGTTAAAGGGAGACTCTAAACCTAAAGAGAGGACTGAGTTACGCATGTGATTGTATCTATTAGGGTTTAGTCTATTCATTGTTATTTGTGAGTCACTCTCGTATCATTTAGATGCTTGAGCTAGATTAAGTCTTTGAGTTGTATTTGTGAATCACTTATAAGCTTTTAAGCAAGAGTGGATTTTGTTTCATTAGAGAGTGTCTCATATTTGGTTGTTATCGTTGTTATCAGTGTTGTGTGATTAAGGGGAAGTATGAGGGGTATCATATCTAGGAGAGTCTTAGATAGAAATACTATGGGTAATGATTAGGTGTGAAGGTTGTAAACTGTAGGTTGTTACATATGACTTCAAACTAATATGATTATAGTGGATTTCTTTCCTGGCTTGGATGCCCCCAGATATAGATGAAGTTGTATTGAACTAGGTTAACAACTATCTGAGTTATTTACTTCCTGCAATTCACTTTAATATTGTAATTGTTTGTGTTGTTATAATGTCTTGATTCTGGTGTCTTAACATCGTATAAGACATATGTTTTGTTAATACAAAAATTTCAATTTGAAAAAGGTTGAATGCATTCACTACAACCCGTAGCAGCCACTATGACCATGCCATAATGAGCTATGGTGTTTGAACTAGAGGCATCCTCCTTTTGCAGTGATCTTCATGCAGTATTCCTTAGTTTTTCTCCTACTTACCTTATATTGTCCTGTTTCATATGAAACAAAGATGCGAAAGTAAAATGGACATAATAGAGATCAAACATACTAGAAATTTAAGATAAAATATTCACAAAAAACAGTAAAAATACAGTGGCTTTTCTAAAATCTTTGGATAGAAAAACCTGGAAAATGGTTATAAAAGGTGGGGAACATCCTGTGGTGAAGGACACAACTTAATTGAAGCCATAAAAGGACTATTATAAGGAAGAAGATGAACTTTCTTTTGGAAACCCTAAAGCTTTTAACACCTTGTTCAATGTGGTTGACAAAATTATATTCAGGTTAATAAACACATGTACTATGGCCAAAGAAGCATGGGAAATCCTCAAGACCACTACTCATAAAGGCACATCGAGAGTTAAAATAATATCAAGACTTCTACTTCTCACCACCAAAATTGAGAATCTCGGGATGAAAGATAACGAGAGTTTTCATGATTTTCAAATGAGTATTCTTGACATTGTCAATGCATCTAGTGTCTTGAGAGAGAAGATGTCAGAGAAGAAGTTAGTTAGAAAAATCCTCAGGTCGTTGCCTAAGTAGTTTGACATGAAGGTCACAACCATTAAAGAAGCCCGAGATATTTGCAACATGAAATAGGATGAGCTTGTTGGGCCACTTCAAAATTTTGAATTGACCATCAGTGATAGATCTGAAAAGAAGAACAAGAGCATAGCCTTTATTTCCAACATCAGTGATGAAGAGGCTTAATGTGGCATGGAGGCTGATGAAGGAACTTCTAAAGCTATTGTGCTTCTTGGGAGGAAATTCATTAAGGTGTTGAATAAAATGGACAGGAAGCCAAGATTAAATGTCAAGAGCATGTCATTCAACATCAGTAAGAAGAGTGACTTTCAGAGAAAAATAAGAATAGATGAGAAACTCAATCAAGGAGAAGGTATTCAGTGTCATGGATGTGATGGATTTGGTCACTTTACATCAGAATGCTCCATATATCTCAAGAAACAAAAGAAAGGGCTTATTTGTCGCTTGGTCGGAGGATGATGATTATGAAAGTGAATCTAATGATGAAACTGCTAAGCATGTTACATCCTTCACTAGTAGATATGAAGCTAATGAAGATTCATGTGATGAGGATGTCTCTTATAGAGAACTAGTTGCTTCCTACAAAGAGCTTTGTGTCAGAAGTGAGGAGGTTTGTAAGATAGGAGAAAATCAAAAGAGAATCATAGCTTAATTGCAGGATAAAAAAGAGAAACTTGTATCTACTGTCTTTGATCTTTAAGATGAGGTAACCCTATTGACTTCTAAACTTTAAAACATGAAAAAATACATAATAATGTTAAACAATGGGTTTGATATGTTGGATGAAATTCTTCAAGTTGGGAAAGGAGCTGGAAACTCAACAAGTATAGGTTTTAATTACCAATCTCTAAACAAACAAGGAAAAACCTCTGTGACAAATTTTATTCCTTCAGAAATGAAGCATGAGCCCAGGATGTCCAACCAAATGTTACAAACATCTTGCCAATAATCAGGAAACTCAGACTAAATCCAACTTATTGCCTTGGAAATATCATTATTATGACAAATGTAGTCATATAAAGCATTTTTATTACAGACTGTATGGTTATCAAAAACATTCAACACAACCTAGGGATAATTATGTGATGATTAAAACTAGAAAGGTATGGAAACTAAAGGTTGTTGATACTAGTCTTATAGCCCATACTTCTCTTAGAGCTTCATCTAGAAAATACGGGTACTTTGACAGTGGATGTTCTAGATATATGAC